GCAGCAGCAGTAAGACTAAGGACATGAATACTAGAGACAGCCACATTCTCTCATTTCCTAGCTAAGAACACTTCACTTTTCTTGGCAACAACCCCAAGGCTTCAAGACTTATCGCTGCTTTCCTGAGCTTCAGCTGCGATACTTGTGAGAGGAGCCACATCATAACCAGCGAGACAGGAACTCAGAAATGCTGAGCTATCTCATCAGCCCAGAATCTTTATTTCAATCCTTCAGTTTCTCCCCACCCAAGTTATAAAACTGTTTCCTAATCCTCTCTTCCAAGAGCTGGAGAATTAAATATTGTCTGGAGTTCCTGACAACATCAGTTATAATTTTTAATATCCTTGTGCTGCTAAATTTCCATTTCCTGGGTGGAGGTGTAAAGAGTGTATATTCTTGTATATGTGTGGGTGTAGATGCATGTTACAGTTCTTCAGGCCATATAGTTGTATCCATATGTGTTTAACTTCCCCTGGTGTTAATGGAAGCTATGAGGGCCCCTGTGGAAGAATGTTTTAGAGAAGGGAATGTTCAGCTAGATGGGCTTTTCCTATTATTAAGTTTTATTGCATTTCTATAAGAAACATTTCTTACTATGAGAAACGATCAGAAAATCATCTTGCTAAATGACCTAATCCAAAAGCTATTATAGACTGTATAGTCAGTGGATAGTTAACAGGACCAAAAATACACCAGCTTTCTCATCAATACCCCTTTATTTTACTCATGTTGTATTTGAGGCAGCTAATCTCAAAAAAGAACACTCCCAGCAGAGCTCAACATTGTGCTTTGGATATAGTGAATGTCTTCAATAGCCATGAGAATGGATGGAAAACCACCATCCTTAAAAATTAGTGAGTGTAATTAAAGGGATTAATTCAATGGCAAGGGCTTACATGCCAGGTTCACCACTGCAATTTAGTATTGACAGTATATCTGTTCTCTTCTATTTTTAGTTTTAAATTGCAATTCATTGTTTAGTTCAACCAGCATAAAATATTATGCAGGAACACAAAACATATTTCCATCATAGCCTCTTGAACTTAGACTGAATCTATAGTTGTTACTATCACTGGTGTGAAAATTGTCCATTTTGGACCAGTATCATTCTTGCAAAGTAAAGATAAAACAATTCTTTAGGGCCTGGAGACAGGTAAAAAAGATACAGGACGTGAGGGAGTTGTACCCTTGGGAAGCTGTTAAGTGGAACAGGTTTTTGTGAACACTTAGTGGTCAATATGAAATAAGAGGACTTCAGCTTTTAAATACACCTGAACTGAGTATTGTTGGGTTTGGAATTTTTTTTCCAGATCTTTACACTAAGCAGTTAAAAGAATGTGAGCTAGGAAAACACTTCATACCTGAATTGACAGCAAAAGCACAATTTTCTGTAGTAATTTGAAATTACAGGCAATTATAATTACATTCCAGAAAGCACTGGAAGCTGGCCAGCTCAGCAGCAGTATCACTGCAGTACTAGAGCTATGGTAGCAGGCAAATGTTTCATGATGGAGCACCTGGAGCTCTCTAGGGAGTAGAGGCAGAAGGGGCAGAGGGACTTTGCCCACATCCCTCTGCTGGTACAGGCAACAGCTCTTGTGGTGTGAGCAAGTCCTGCAGGCAGCACAACAGTGGCCTTGGCTCAGCACCCTGGTGTGAGGCTGGTGCCACTCATGGTCTCTGGTAGTTTACAGCCATATGGAACTCAGCAAGTAGGTTTTGAAGCTCTACGGTGATCATTGACCTATGCCATGTGCAGTGCCTGAGGGACAGACTTTGGGATCAAGACATACACTGTAGCTTTCCCTCAGATAACATTTCTCCATTTTATCTCCTATCTTCTGTGATCTACACTGCTCCACTTCTACTGCTATGAGGGTATGGTTGACACCAAGCAACAGGGCTTTCATGCACCTAGTATGTCAGCTTAGCTACTGCTTGCTCTTACCCAGGGTCAGGCACTGGCTTCCAAATGTTCTTCAGCTGAGACCCTACTTGTCATGAACCTTGCTTTGTTACCCCGAAATATGGTGTGACTTACATGTTGACGTCCTACATCCTGGGGAGCAGCAGCCATTTTGGGAACTACAGCTCTGCTCCTACAAAACCAATCACGAGCCCTTGTGAATCTGGCCTGTACTTTACTCATGTAACTTTTGCATTCAAAACAGTATATTCACTGTGCATTGTTTACTCTTTTATATCGCTTTGCATTCAGAAGCTGTTTTCTTTCATTCCATTTTTTGTCTTAACTCATACACTTTGTTAATTACTTCTATCTTCCTCTTCATTTCTTATATAGTGGATTCCTTTCCTCATGGCTACTGCTTTTTTAATTATAGCTTTTCCTTCTTTCTGTACTTTTTCTTTTTTTTAAATTCATGTTTATCTTTTAATTAAGTCACCAGGAGGCATATTTAGAGCCCCCAGGGTTCACTTTGAACTCCAAAAAGGAAAAGCCTTACTCTGTGCTCTAAACAAAATGTTAATTTGAATTAATTGAAGGAAATGCTCTGCCTGTGATAGACTTGTTTCTGAATAATTAATCATTTCAGCCAGAAAAGTAAACATTATGGCCTTGATTTTTACTTCTGGTCCTACCAGTGTCAGTCTGGAGCAGCTCTGCTAATATAAACTGAATTGATCTCATTCAATATTAGTTCAGCCAAAAGCAAGCTCTGGCCCCAGATCACCATGGAAAAAAATACAGTTTGGTCTGTGTTGTATCCAAATACTTCATAGCATTGTAAGTGCTCTCCCCCACCTCTTATGCCTCATTTTTCAGAGGAGTGATTTCCCTTGTAGCCAAAACATGGTCATAGCCAGGGTGGTGAGCAGGGATGGTTGGGGTTAAGGGGTCTGTTGGCTGAGGAAGGGGGCTATAGCAGTGGAGAAACAAAGCAACTGATGGCTAGTAAGATCCCTCCTGGAATGGGTGGGGAAGTGCTCAGTGGCTAGGAGGAAGGAGAGGGGCAGGGGTATGTGCCACCAACTCTAATCTCCCTTGGCTCTTCAGAGCATTAGCCTAAAGATAACTCTGGCAGGTGTACCTCTGGCTTGTGGTCCAAACCCTCCCCTGCAGTTTGAAAGTGGAGGAATAAATAGCTTTTGCTGCTTTATCCTTCCTACTTGTGAATGCTGAATCCTTGGACCTTGGCTCTTCATGAATGGGATGTGGAAGAGGTGAAAGACAGTGACTGAAGTTTAAGGAGGAGAAGGAAATAATCTATTCACAGCTCACAATCCATTGCTGGCTGCTACATGAAGGTGAACTAAATCCAAAGAAGGATTATTTCCTTCCCCTGGAGCGCCTGGCTGAAAAGCAAGGACTCTTCCAAGCTCCATTATAATTTTATTACCTTCTACCCTGCACCTCTTTTACTAAATATTGATAATCTCCTTGCTCTCCTTCTACACTACTAGCCTGGTGAAAGAGGGGCAATCACACACCTTTATATTGCTTGTTTATCTAAAATGGAAACAAATGCTGCAAAGTAGAAAATTACCACTGGGCACTTTATGTCAGGGCCTCACACAGATAAAGCATATCAATACAGAGCTAGAATAAGAGGAGCTATCTCAGATATTTAACAGGTATTATCTTGCATGATACTGATATTTAACATGTCCCATAGTGCCTGATGTATATAAATCTATTCAAAGGTTCATGAATTGGGCAGATTCATGGGAGTGGCTTTTAAGTGCAGAGAGACATTTCCAGATTCCTGCTGATTGGAGGTATTGAAGGTACAATGCAGAGGCTATTTCCCTTCCCCTCAAAGTCCTTCTTAAAGCTTCTGCTGACAGTTTCCCAACAGCAGTTGGCAAAATTGCCCTTTGGTTTAACCCATGACCAAATGTGTGATTGTACTCATAGTTGTGTGTTTCCCACGAAACCAAGAATCCTCAGACCCAGTTTATTGCATAACAGCACAAGTCTTCTTGACAGCACAAGCACAAAGCAGAAAGAAAAAATATTTCAAGTAATTTCTTAATAGTTAAAATGAATAAATCATTTTATCCTTGCTCCTTTCCCAAGTGTCTGAGACTTGACACATTTGCTAGCTCTATTTCTAGTCTGTACAGATTCTTATAGCCCAGTCATCACATTAGTATCCAGCCCTTCCCAATAACATATTGCATAAATTCCAGGAAGATCAAACCTCTCTTGGGCAGTATCTGCTCTCAAGCTGTGTTTACTGTCATCGAAAGAGCATTAAAAAAAAACCAAAACAAAAACAGGAGTCTTATGATGCAGATGTGTCAATGAAGTGAAAGATGGGTCAAAAATAACCTTTAGTTTTGCATATAACAAAAGGAAAAAGATGCATGGTCTAGGGTGTGTAATAAAACTTCTGAGTGAAATTACTGGTTTCTACTAAATTGGTATTAGAGTGATGAGTTTTTAAGTTTTCTATGATATAGAGTAATATTAAGATAAGAAAGTTTTAAAAATTGTTCAACTCTAATAGAGGAAAAACTCTTTAAGCCTATCAGTCTTTACAAGGCACTTATTTTTTCTGTATGTGAGTTGATTCTAAAGGGGAATTGAAGAAGGGTTATTAGAGTCTTCTCTCTCTGGAATTAGAAAACTAGGAGGTCTGAAAAAAAGGATACCTGACGAAATTTTGAACAGATTCAGAAACTGATTAGAAAAATTGATTTGCAGAATAGTGTTATTAATATTGAAATCAGTAATACCTCTAAAGAGTTAGAATTCCTCTCTGCTAACAGGACTCTTAAAGAGATTTATTTTCTCCCACTGAATAATGCAAGTCTCAAATATCTAAAGAGTTATTATTTTCACAGGGAATTTCTGGAGTGTAATAGTCAGGAGAAAGTACCTGCTTTTATGGAGTTGCCCTTTGAGATATAAAGTTCAACCCTGCATTAATAGATCTGTGAGTACTTTTACCAGTGTGTAGCTACTGGCGGTTTGTAGTGTTATAGAAATACAAATAATTATGCACTTCTATTTACTTGTCAGGTTTTTCTGCTAGATACCTCCTGCTAATTAAAAAGTATGTCCCAGAGAAGAGCTGTCCTTCATGTTGTGAAGAGACCTGCTGACATGCTGATGTTGCTGTAGTCTTATTATTCCTCTGGGAAAATTACCCAGAGCCTTAAAGCACTGACCTTGAGAACCCAGTGAGGTACCCAACCTGGCCCCCAACAAGCTGTACAATGTGGTGAAAAACACCCAGGAGCAGAAATCCCACCAAGCTAACCCTCTGAGTGGGCTCATAGACCCTGTGTTCAGCACACAAAAGCTGGCAAAGGCCTCAGCAGAGAAAAAAGTGTCTGCCTGTGAAGGTCAGAGTTTTTTATGTGAACCCTGTTAATCTGGTTTACAGATGGGATTTACCCAAACCTGTGAGCCTGACTCTTCTGCCCTGCAGGCAAATGCCTGACCTGATGCCCAGAGCTGCTACTGTGTGCACTGGAGTCAAAGCCAAATGTTCTGCCTCGGTTTATATCTCAAAGCATGTCTAGAAAGAGCTATTGAATAAATGAACCTTTTCTAGAGTATACAGTTTTTCCCTGGAATGAATTTTCTAATAGTTATTTCCAGATTTTTCTTACTGTTCACTTGTAGTAACATGCTGCATGGATTTGCAGAGTGTTCCCTAATTCCCTTTTTAACCATCACCTCTCTTATCTCTCACTCCTTCTCTTTTTAGCTCACTAATTCTTGGGCTGTTTATCACTTTCAAAAAAATCAGGCTTCAAAACCATCTCTCCCACACCTTCCATCTCCTGCATCAGAGTGTTATAGATTAGATTGGTCTAGTAACAAATTGAACCTGATGCAAGTTTAGTATAAACTTATTCTGCTTTAATGTATTTAATGAAGAACTCTCCAAACCCTTAGCTGAATCCTGAGAGCTGGATGTGGTCTGAAATACAGTAAATGAGTGTATTAATGTCATTGCTGCAAGAATTCCTGAATCATGGCAGAAAATACCTGGGTGGATGTTGTCCATTCATGCTGGTTCTCCTGAGGTTTTTTTTGGCTGATGATGAACCAAATCATCCTGCCTTATCTTAGTTTCCAAAAAACATTTTCTGTCTTAATTTCAGCTCCACTGATGATCACCACAGTGGCAGTGCCAAGCTGGATACAGTTGGCTACTTATGTGTTAACCACAAAGTCATCTAAATATTACTCTGAGCTACTCGACATCCAGGAGAGGTTCTTCAGATCTGCTCACAGCCATGCAGGTGCATAAGGCAGCTAACTATTACCATCTGGTCTCTGGAACTAAGTTTGCAGAAGGAGCCAGAAAACAGACACCTGTTTGGCATACCATCTCACAATAAATCATTGCCAAATTATGTTGCAAGATGGGTATGAGTGAACAAAAACTGAAAGAGGAGACAGACAACTCATTCCTCACTAGTAAGAAAAAAAGGAAGGGTAAGAGGGACAAAGCTGTTAGGGTTGTAAATTATATGTACAGTGAGGAAGTTGAAAACCAATTTGTAAAGTTCATGGGAAGGCAGATGATACTACTGCAGTTTTTCTTGGGTCCTTTGCCAGTTTACATTGTCTACCAGGGAATGCTGTTTGTTCAGCTCTAACCAAACTGTGGGCAAGTCTTTGCTGGGCTATTAGGTTTTCATAGAGAGCTGTATCTGGCCTTGTTCCTGACTTTGAGTTCCCAACCTGCTGCTGTTGCTGCAGAGTCACTACAGGGTTTGTCACTTGTGCTGACTGACTTCTGCTGTCTTTCTTCACTCGTGCAGTAGCATGCCCCTTACACCTTAAGTGTCCTCATAACACCACTGCTGACTGCATACAGAATAACAATGAAAAGGTGCTTGTGCAGATAGAAAACAGACTTGCTTGCAATCTATTGCTGGCTGCTACATGAAGTTGAACTAAAATTACTTACAATAGAACCCCACCATTTACTCATAATTAGGACCCCCAGCATCTTGATTATAGGATTTATCAAGATTTAAATCTTGATAACATGGTCCTTGTTTATCAGCTTGGATCTGCACAGATTCAGAACACCATCTAAAAATTTGTTTACTTTTAAATACTTTCTCACATCAGTTAAGTTTGTGAAATGGAAGCATGTGCTTCAGGCAAAGTGTTGTCTTAAGTGATGCCTTAGACACAATTTCTTCTTTCTCACCTCTGTGTTAGAAATCATGCTACATCTTTTCGGTCACTGCTACATCTTTGATTTTCTAAAATTAAAATGAAATCGACAGTTGCCTCTCCAAGACATTGTGTCATTGTGCTCTGTAAAGTCTATGGAACAGATAGATGTTTTCCTCTATCTGTGTGATCTTATCCTTGCATTTGACTTCTGCTTGTTGACATGGATTTTAATTGCAGATCCTTGTCACAGTAAACAGTGATAAATCTTCAAAAGAATGTAACTATAGCTCTAAATTACCATGCATGAGTGTATGTCTAATATGTAGGTTACCCACTAGCTCAGGATAGTAGGTGATTCAGGAGAGGGAGGCACAAATAGAGCAACAAGGTTATTTTGAGCAAGCCTCCTTGTCTGCTGTTCCTTTGGTTTGGAAGATACAACATTACACTGTAATTTAGGCTTGATTTCATAAATGCAGCCTTGGCTACCACTCTGATTCAGCCTTCCCTTGCTTCACATTTTCCAGGCATTTCCTGCCAAGCTACATTTTTTCTTCCTTAGCAGATTTCTCTCTGCTATCTCTTGGTTTCTCTTACACCAGGTCCCTTTAGGCACCGTATCACTTCCTTTGAGCTACATATCCCTTTGAACCATGGAAGAGAGGAATGGAAAGTACAGTTCAAGGAACTGGTAATTTGGTGGAATGTTGTTCATGCCATAAATCAAACTGACAATAAATCACTAACTATTATTTGATATGGCTAGAACTGAAATGCATATTGACTTTGGAAAAGTCCTTTTTTCCTTCTAACCTGATCAGTCATGTGTTTCTTTTTTTTTTTCTGTCCAAAAATGAGGACTGGCAGTATTATTCCTGGGTATAGGAAATTAAAGCATCTTTTCAGCTTGTGACCTAAACATTATTTTCTTAGGCTAATGTTTTCATAATTCATTGTCCCACAACCTACTAGCTACCTAGAGAAATGTTTCTCTTACTTCATCCTAATATATTAATTCTTCAAAACCAAGAAAAATAGAAAAAGGAAAGTGATTTTCTTTTCTGTTAACAATGTAACACTGGCATCTCATTTGAAAAGAAAGACTCATTGCAAAGCTGCCTGTGGTTCAATGATACATACAAAAAATTGTGTTTATACATATACTACTTCTGTGTACCTCTAGTAATAAGATGCTGTAAGGACCACTTGGAGAATTTGTTAGCTCATAGAGTAAATAAATAATGAAATAAACCAAACAAATTGTCAAGCTTCTATATCTCAAAGGTGAAGCAGGAATGACTGAATGTTTCCTGGATTAAGAAGACCTGTTGGGTAAGCAAATGAAGTGTGTCCATCTGTGAGAGCTGTGAAATGAGGGAAAAATGCAAGGTTCCTATTCTGAGTCTGTTTTCAAGCCTGCTAGCATCCTAATACTGTGGGTTAGGTCTGGGAGTCTGAGCCAGCTGAGGTTGAAACTTGACCCTTGAGAATGGGAAAAAAAAAATGCTGTTAAGCTGCAAGTCTGTGTTTGCTGTGCTGCTGAGATGTGCCTCTGTTACCAGTCTTGGACCTCAGGAAAGCTGCGGATATGGAGCACGTTCCAGCTGGACCAGCAGCAATAGCCTGGGTATTCAACTGCCTCATGACAGGTCAGGAAAAGAAGTAATTTTGTATGCTAAAGATCTCTGGGAACCCTGGTCAACTGCAGTAGCCCAACTTAAGGGTTTGCACAGAAGCACCCTATGTCACCAATATAATAGCACACTAGATCAGCAATGACTTCTGGAATGACACAGGGTGATAATGCCAAACAGAAGGAGGGTTGTGCAGTAAAACATGGTTCCAAGGTTGGGAAATAATTCAAAAGCATGATTGGATTGTCAGAAACGTGGTGTAGAAATATTTCCTCTGCATGGCTTATTGTGTGAATGTTATTTTTGGTAACAGATATCATCATTTATGGCATTGCAGATGCTGCTAAGTGATAAAGTGGCAGTGTTATTATTTTGTGTAACCTCAGCACTTAGAAAGTCAAAGATCTTGATAGCTCTGGTGCAAGATATTCAAGTGCCTAATTGCTCCCCAAACTCTGTCAAGGCACCTCTCTTATTCTGGTGTAGAGAATCCCTGTAAGAAGTAATGGAGATTCAAGTCGTAAAGGCTTGGGATATGGTAAAGTGCATATCCAGATATTACAAACTGAACCTTGCTCCTTATGCTCAAGAGGCAGTTTGAAACTACATTCAAAAGCTGTTTAAAAAAGTGACAGGAGAATTATTAGATTTTGCAAGGAAAGACTTACAGGCTATCAGAAATTGTTTTTTTGGCACCAGTTTAATTTCAGAAGCCATCTTTAGTTCTACTCCAGAAAGATACTCAGGTCAATTCTGTATTCCCAGCCAAGCCCAATGGGTTCACTAGAGAATTTCTTTAGATTTCACTCTGTGAAAAATAAATGAGTTCTGTTTGCAAAGACTGCAAATACCCCAAACTCCCTGCTGTAGAATATTAATAAATAGCTTTTTTTTTTTTTACACAGAAAGCTCTCAGGTAAGTGGCACTATTGTGAAAATATCTTTGAGATTTTTTCCTTTATTACTGATTTTGCATCTTCCAAAGTCTGGCCTCATTTGTTCTTGTTGAAACGAAATGGGGAAGTGCATGAATGTATTGAGTAATCATTTCATTTAGCTGTTTTGCTGTGTGATATTACATGATGCTTCTCAGCCTACATAAACCCCTGTGGTTCACAGCTATAACATGGACTTTATCCCAGTTAAATAATCTGCATATAGCAACTTTGTCAGTAGTACCAGACCATGTGCAATGTTAGCTGTAATGTCACCCTTGTGCTATAGGGGGTGAGGTTTAATTGAAGTTACCACATTATTATGAGGTCTATGAGTCAAACTTTAGGTGTTCTTTAGATTCCCAGAGAAAGGCGTTTTCGGTCTCAACTGGTCACATTTATTTTTGCCTTTCTAAGCCACAAGATTTATAAATTTGGCCCAGCTTCTTTATGCAAATATAAAAGAAGCTTTCAAAACTATCCCCTGAAACCCAAATCACTGAGTTGAATTAGGATGAATTCTTGCACTCAGACTCAATTTTCACTTAAATATAGAGTCTTTGGCAAACATTTGCTCTACAATAAGTCTTTCTTTTTTGAAAGAGGGAATCAAAAGAGTTCTTTGAACCATTTCTGAATATGGAGTTAACCAAAAGCCCAGAATATCTTTAGGAGGAGAAATATCCACTGGTTTTGGAAAGCACAAGATATTTATAGCTGTCTGAAATACCTGATGAAATGTTCTGGTGTCCTTAGAAAACGTATAGTAAATGTTTAGGGTTTTTTTTTTGGGTGTGAGAGAATGAAATATTCACTTCTGGCTAACTTGAGAAAAGGCAAGCCCTTAATCCTTGTTTCCTGCTGGCAGTTCTTTGTCATGCTGCGTTATGAGTGAGTGCGAAGATGGTGAGTCAGATTTTGTAAATGAGGGGTGAGAAAAATGGGAATAGTATTTTTAGAAAAAGAGGAAAACAAACTGAGACACAGAAGTCACTTAAAGCAAACCCGCTTTCAAAAATGCTGGCTGTAGAAAAAAATGAAGGGAGCACAGATTATGCATTTCAAGCCTACAAAAACTGTTGAAAACTGTGGAAATCTGAGAGAGAGTTTTCTTATCCTGATGTGGGCTAGTCTGGAAAAAATACTCCTTGTTGCAGAGAGTGTTAAGAAATGGATTTGTTTTATCAACATGTATAGTTTACTTGCAGCCTGGAACAGATGTTAAAAATCATTTCTGCTGGGTGAGACTATGATTTTTGGTATCCTTAGCTGTCCATACTCATAAAATAAAAGTCTGATTTGTTTTGTAATTTGAAAATGAGTGGCATAGTTAGTATTCCTAAAATTATAACTAAATAGTTGACTCTGTCTTCCAGTTCAGGGTATAATGGTTTTAATCAAATGCTAGAATCACACATTTTAATGATAATTTATTGGAGCATCTAAGTAAATATGTTATTTGTCACTTTAGATATGCAAAATAACTTTGCTATATAGTTATATTTACCGGCTAATTTGAGGATCACTATTGGTGCTACCATGAAGAAGCAGTAGGTCATAGTAGTAGGGGACTCTACTTTGAAAGGCACAGAGGCACTTATCTGTCAGCCTGACCCAGTCTCAAGGGAGGTGTGTTGCCTACCAGGGGCAC